GGGAGTGGGAATCCAGGGGCACACAGGGACCAGGGACCCAGGCAACAGGGACCAGCCAAGACTCCCGGGTCCTACCTGGAGAGAGTCCAGTGACCAGTGGGACCTGCTCACCTCTGAGTGTCAAGGATGGCAGCTGTCACATCCCTAGGTGATAATCCGAGACCCAGCAGGTGGGTTGGGTGGCTCCCCCTGCCCCCACTCTCCACCCACCTCTTCTCCAAAGTGATTCTGCTCTTTATTTTGTACAAACATCCGTCCTGGTGGGAGCAGCCCCCTCCTCCTGCCCATCCACAGTGGCTGGGGGGGGGGGGAGCCCCTCCCGGAGGCCCCTGGCCACCCCTGGTGCTGCAGCAGGCGTCTGTAGGCCCCACGGCGGCCCCGCAGCTCTGCAGGGATCCCCATCTCTGCCACAGTGCCTTGTTCCAGCACCACAACATGATCAGCCACCTCCAGCATCCGTGGGCAGTGGGTGATGAGCAGCACCGTCCGGACCCTCCCGCTCCGCACCCACTCCTGCAGCTGCAGGAGATGCCGGCACCCATCAGAACCTGCCACGGGGGATGGGACCCCTCCCATCCCACCACGGCCCCTTCTGCCACTCACCACTGCCTTGACCTCCCCGTCCAGGGCGTTGGTGGCTTCGTCCAGGATGAGGACAGTGGGTCGCCGCACCAGGGCCCGGGCAATGGCGACGCGCTGCTTCTCCCCGGCCGAGAGCTTCCCCCCTTTCTCCCCCACATCTGCAGGACGGGGGTGGTGAGTGAGCCCCTGATGCCTGGGTGCCCTCCCTTCCAGCCCCCCCCGGCACTCACCGGTGTGAAAGCCCTGCTCCAGCGCTAGGATGAAGTCCAGGGCACCGGCAGCAGCAGCAGCCGCCCTCACCTCCTCCTCCCTGCAGCCCTCCAGCCCGAAGGTGATGTTGTCCCAGATGGTGCCCGAGAAAAGCACCGGCTCTTGCCCCACCAACACCACCTGCCACCCCCAGGCACAGGCTGAGACTGGGCCCCATGTAGCCCGGTGGTGCCACCCCTCCTCTCAGCTGCTGCTGCCCTCACCTGGCGGTGCAGGTAGTGGTGCTCATAGGCGTGCAGTGGGACCCCATCCAGCAGCACCTCCCCGCGCACCGGCTCGTGCAGCCGCCCCAGCAGCCCCACGCAGGTGCTCTTCCCGCTGCCGTTGAGTCCCGCCAACGCCGTCACCTTGCCGGGGGGCAGCTCAAACGAGACCTCCTGGGGGATGGTGGGTTTGGGGGCAGGGGCAGGGGCAGGATGTAGTGGTGGGTGCTCAGGGAACAGCCCCACCTCCTTCTTGGGGACCCACTGAAGTTCCCTCCCCAGGCTCTACCTTCAGGACGAGGTGCTGGGGGCGTGTGGGGTAGGTAAAGGAGACACGGCGGAAGGCGACTTCGCCCCGCAGGGTGGCAGGTTCCTGGGTGCCCCCTGTGATCCCGCTGGGTTTCAGCTCCAGGTAGTCGAAGATCTTGCGGCCAGCTGCCACCTTGCTCAGCAGGTCCCCGTGGCCAAATACCAGCGACTGCGTGGGACAGAGGAGATGGCACCAGGGAGGGGTGTGGGACAACTGGCCACCGCCAACACATCGGACACTTCGACACTGCCAGTTCACCACTGGGACAAGTGGCCACTGATCGGTGGGGAGCACTGGGAGCAGACTCACAGGGAGCAGCCAGGGAACCAGGTCTCTAGAGAGGAGGTCAAGGGTGTGAGTGACACCATTTGGGACATGGAAAATTAACAATAATGGTGACTCGGCCAAATACGAGAAATGGGAAATGAACAATGAGATAAAGATGGTTCAACAAAATGTGAGAAACAAGGAATTAACAAAGAGATAAAGGTGACTCAGTCAAATGGATCCCAAACAACTCATTTCAGGTCACAAACCTGAATATAACTTTTAAAACCTGGGTTTGATGGCTTTGAAGTGCGTTTGTTTAATGCTACTTTTGGAAAATATTTTTGGATGTTTTACAGTTGTGTTTGTTTAGTATCACTTCTTAAAACTGTGTTTTGGTGTGTTTTCCAATTGCATTCGACATCACTTTTAGAAAACATCTCACCTTTGCTTCATCTCGCTGTTAATTTTTCACGTCACAAATGGTGTCACGCACACACACCTGAACCCCCCTGAACACACCCAGTTCTCTCACGGCCATTGGAGCCCTGAGGATGGAGCTGTTGCTACTTGAGGGTCTGTCCCTGGTGCAAGTGTTGCTCCTGGTCTGTAGCCCGTTGTCCCATTTGGCAGTGTAGAAGTGTTCATTTGGTGGCATTTGGTGGCCAGTTGTCCCTTTTGCACGAGGACAGGGACAGACAGACACAGTGGGGGGGCACACACGGGTCATGAGGTCTCACCTCCACACTGCGGCCAACTTTCTCCTGGTAGAGGAGGAAGGTGACAAGGCTGCCAGTGGTGATGGTCCCCTCACGGAGCTGCTGGTGCCCATGGTAGAGCACCAGCACCTGCATGGCCAACTGCAGCGCCTGTGGGGTGGGAAGGGGGTCAGTGGGTGGGGGAACAGGTGTGCCTGGATGCCCGGGGGTCCCTCCTGCACCTGTCTCACCCGCTTGAAGAGAGTCAAGAGAGCCCTCTCCACGCTCATCCGATCCCTCAGCCCCAGCATCTCGTCCACAGCCCGGCCATGGCGACGCTCCTCCTCCTCCTCCCCCGCGAAGGTCCTGACCGTCTCGATGGAGGACACGGCCTCCTGCACCACCTCTGCTGTCCTGGCCCTGGCGTCCAGCTCCGCTCGCTGCAGCACCTGGGGGGGACAGACTCAGTGCCCACGGGATGTCCCCACCAACCTGATCCCCCCACCCTAGGGTGCCCACCCCGCTGTCCCCATCCCCACCTACCCCATCCTGCCACCACTGACCCCCTCCCCTCCATCCCCATCCTACCATCCCATCCTCCTAGTCCCCATCCCATAGTCCCATCCCCACTGTCCCATCCTGTTATCTTTGTCCCAATTCCAGTCCTCCTCATCCTGCCGTGATCCTGTCTCCACGATCCCATCCTCCCCATTCTGTCCAGTCTCCCTGTCCCT